GGAACATTACAGTGACAGTTTGGCAACTGCAGATGAAATGATGTCTGAATTGTTGCCATTTGAAAAGCTGTACTGATGGTGACACTGTTCAGCATGCCCACATTCAGGCACAGCTTTTCTGCATCTTGACTGCTGAGAATTCTTAACTGGATCTGCTTTGTCCTCTAATAGTGAAAATAATCTAGTGAAAAAGCAAAAGCTTTCTTCCTCTACTATATCATTTGTAGTTTTAGAATGTACTGTGTTTTGGTATGACTACACTATTTCCTACATTTTCCCACATGGCCTCCTTTTGTAAACCATAATGAATCATCTGAATCATACTTCTACTTCAAAATATAACCAATTAGATATTTTAAACTGACATGACTTTATAAAATGACTTTGCACAAATAATGCTCATTTCTGCAGTGCACAATCACCATGATTACAAGAAGGCAGTTAGCCTAGTTTCACACTTGTTTGACTTGTTTGCCTCCCCAGTGGCGAGGCTTGGTTGGTTGGTTGACCTCTAATCCCAACTGCAGTATATCTATATAACAACTATTGGATGTATAGTCATGAATTCATGGCCATCAGATGATGAAGAATATATAGAATATACTGTACTTTTTTATTAATAGAAAATAATGTAATTTCTTATTTATGACAAATGTTGAAGTCAGAGAAAATTCAAGAAAGTTGAAGGCATGTTGCATCGCTAAATAGTAGTCCTCTAAATTGCTCTCGTTGAAGAACAGATTTGGGGGGGTGTTAAAATTAGATTGAAGGAAGTCTGTGACTGTTGATAAGTGTGAAAAGACTAAAATTAACACTGCAGAAGCCATCTGGATTATCTGAACTCTGTCAAGAACACATTACCATCATTTTTTAGTTTGAACATTGATGGTTATACATTTTTACTGATAACAGTGGATGCTACAAGACTGCTGAATTTAAAGGGAACAACGCTATCATTCATTTATTTCAAAAGACTGTGAAAGAATTCTTTTTACTCATCTTGACCCATCTACACTTAATGTACAAAAGACCCGGTCATCTAAACAGAAGCGTTCCAGTCCACTTCCATTGTCTTAATTGTTATTCTCAACCTCTTCAGCTCGAGTTCACGCTTGCTCTCACAGAAACACTAATGGTTATTTGCAACCGCCTCTGAGATATCGGCTGCCCCAGTGTCAAACTGTTTCTGCTCAACTGTACAGATACTCAAGTCCTGCCAGTCGTATCAAATACTGTGTGAGTCTCCAGTTTAATTCCGTTTCCTCTTGAAAGCCCAGCGAGGCGAGATCAAATGATGTCCAGGACCTTGTGTCATCTAACATTGACCATAACACCACAACCGCCGCCCCAGACAACCCCCACAGACCCTTACATACTTCTTGAAATTGTTAATTTGGCCAAAAATATAAAATTCAAAACAAGCAAATGGACATACAGTAAAACTAAATGGATAGCTGAACGGTGGGGATACTTTTGATATTTTGATTATTCTTCTTTTATGTTACATTATGGGAGACATTTTTACATTTGTCCTCAAGGTAGCCTTAAACAGAAACATTAAACTGGAGGGCGCTGTGATGGAAAGGCCAAATGTCAATTTATGAGCTTGAGACTTGTTGTGGACTGTGCTGAAAATATAACGGATTGTTACCACAGAAACACCAGCTGCAGTGTGTTGACGTTAGGGCCTCACCAGCATATGATCTGTGGGTCAACACAGAATCTGTTTTGCCAGCGCTAGCATCTCGGCTAAAATTATCTCAGCTAAAATGTCCTTGAGAACAATTAAAGCGCTAATCTCAAAGATAAATAAGCCCTTAAATTAGAACTTCTTTTCACTTTTTGTGAGAATAATAATGCAGTTATTGTGTATATTTTTCTATTTTTCCAAAGAGGATAAAAAAGTTTTGATCATATTTGGGGATGTAACTTTTAAGCTTCAACCATCTGTGTGGGTTTACTATGGCAATAGGGGACTGACATTTGAGAACTGACAATGCGCTGTCAACTTCAACCTGCCTGAAGAATGTCCTGCTGTACAGCCTCCAAACACTGATACAAAACAAGTTATCCCCTTCTTCAGCGAGCAACGAGGGGTTAAGTGTCTTGCTCAGGGACACAATGGTGGGTGGTCACAGTGTGGGATCGAACCGCCCGCCATTACCACCCCAACACTCACTGAAAGGAGTACTTCTAGCTAGCGTTAGCTGTCTCTGCTGTCTATTTTTCATGGGTTTAGATGTGTTGATGGTAAATAACCAGTGCCTCAGCACTCCGTATGTTGCCTAATGATTTGAGTCATGACACAGAAGAAGTTACGGAGACATGTAGGGGCTGTGAAAATCACAGATGTGACTAAGAAATGGCTAACTACTTCTGCCCCACAGTTGGTTACCTACCTTTGTGAATGTTGGATTTGTGATATTACAAACTATTTTTCGTGCCCGCCCACACAGATATTGCACCAGTCAAATTACAGTAATGACATCAAGTGAATTTTCTTTTTGCCCAAACAGCAGACATTGAACACAAAATGTTTTGTTCAATAAAGCCAGATAATCCATGTTATTTTTATCAAACTTCGACATATTCAAATCTGCCATTCAGAGCTAAAATCTGTTTTCCTCCACACAAAGCCACACTGTGAAAACAGGGCCTCTGTGACATTAGTGGGGTGAGACTGCTGCTCAGTATGGCCTTTGCCTGGTTAATGAGATAGAGCATTTGGCCAGTTCTGATCTGGCTGTTTTATTATGTGAGCAGAAAACTGTAGAACCCATTTAGCAGCCAAATACCTGTGGCTTTGATTCTGACAGAGCTGCCTGCTTGTCCTCTGTGTCTCTCCCGTAATCAATCAAAGCCTGAACTGGAGGAAAGGACATGGGAATCAAATACTTCATCTTTGTAGAAAACAGACATATGTAAATGTTTTGCAGAAATCACTCCGGTCCCCAGATTTAAAGGAGCTGTAGATGGACTGACTTGACAGATATTTGTCTGAATTCTTGTTTACTATTGAAAGGCAGTGAAAAGAGTGCAGTGTTTGTCTCTAAACAATGCTTTTGCCTGCGTGGTTCACAGTTTTTGCATGAAAAGCTGTCTTTTACAGTCAGGTCATTAAATCAAGTGGCAGTGGAAACTGAGAATACAGTCAGAAAACAGTCGAATAAACCTTTTTCGTCTGTTGTACAGTAGTACATGGCTTTAAAAACCACACCAGGTCTATAAAAACAGATGTTTGACCTGAGCTAAGACATTCAAAACTAGAAGCTTCCTCTTCTTCTCTTCTTTGTTTTGACCTGTTCAGGCTTTCTAGTTTCTAATTAAGGAGTGACCTCAGGAGGCATGCTGGACTGTGAAATGACATGACTAAATGCAAAAAGAATCCTGTAATAAGTAGTAGCTCTGTAGCTGGAGAGGGAACAGTTGGGATAAGGAGACGTTTGCAAGGCTTTAAGCATTCATGATTCAGTTAGGGCCTGATTAATGAAAGGCTGTGCTGAGTACGAGTGAATTGGAAGTATCTTCAGGGATTCTTCCCCTGGCTCAGGGGGAGACATTTTCCGTGTACGAAAACCTAACTCCAGTTGTAAACTTAACTGGTGAGTGTCAAACCCTTCTGAGTTTTCATTGTCAACAGAACTATTTCTACCTTTCACTGATACCTACCTCATTATAAAAATGGATTTAATGTTTATGAAGATTTTAACAGATTTACTTTGTATTTCAGCAAGTAGGAGATTCATTTGAGAACCACCCATCCATTTAAAGGATGATTCCAAACTCTACATGACTTTACAGGCAATTGCTACCTTTGAGTACCCATAGGTTTTCCCCTCTTCATTTTTATGGAAATTTGGGAATTCTAAAGAACTGATGCTAAAATATTAATTAGCATTACACACCAGTATCTCTAAAAGTAGGAATGAAAAAAATGAAAGAAGATGAAAGCTCAAATCATATTGGAACTGTCGTGTTGGGTTTTGAGTCCCCTTTGCATGGACCGTTAGGCAAATAGGCAGCTGAGCTGGACAGACTGGAGGGCTCTGCAGGAGTAATCTGCTGCTGGTGCGTCTCCAAGACGACTGATGATGGGCAGCAGCTTAGAGCTGGCAGGAAAGAAAGTGACGCAGTGGCACAGAGAGTACTGGACATGTCGGTAGTGATTACATTCTGCTTCAGAAAGGGTCAGGGGTCAGACTGAGCGTGTGCCGGCAGCTTCCTGCGCCAAACTGACTTCCCAACACTGTACAATGCCTTGTCCTTGTTTTGCTCTGGGCTAGCTCTGCAGCCTCAATTTCACACTGTCAATGCTTCTCAATATTAGAAAATCAAATTCAATTTCTTCATTACATCTTCTGTGTACACTTGTGTATCAGATACAAATAGTTCCTGGAGATAAGAGTTTGGAGATTAGGGGAGAAAATCCAGATATCAGCATTAATCATATCTAACCGTCTCTGTTTTATCAAAAATAAAGAACAGCTAGCTTCTGGCACACAGGGCCTTTGGACCACATTTTACCACAAGGTTAACCTACTTTATTTTGAATTCTTCAGCGTCATCGTCCCAGTCAGCACTGATAAGGCAGTTTGTCATTGGTTGATGGGGAACATTTGCTAATCAAAGTTGACCAATGTTTGACTCAGTCTTTCACAAGATAACCCTCTGATTCCATTCAAATTAATTGAATTCTGTATAAGATTGCATATGTTGAGATTATTTCTTAAGGGGCTTTGCAGCTTTATTTGCTTCATGTAGAGGTCATCAAATCTAAGTGAAAGGTTACATTAGAACATATAAGCACAAGTTCCTTAAGCATCAAGCAAACTGTACTGCTTTTAAAATAACTATCAGAATAAATCAATTGCAGCACTAACCACAATGATGTAAATCACTGAATCTCTTTCAGTGATCACAAAATAAGATTCAGATAGTGAGAACCACTTTCACATCAGTCTGAAAAATCTGGGATGCTTGTTGTTTAAAGAAACACTCACCGTCCTCTCGAGACTTCTGGATAAACGCATCAACGCCACTTTCTCCGTAGTTTCCCTCAGAAGCTACAGTGGAGACGTAGTTCCAGCGCATGGCTTTGACAATGTCCACCATAGCCTGGGCCTGGTAGGTGTCCGGGGGGACCACCCGGGAGAAGAAGTCGTAGCGCGTGTTGTCACTCAGCTCAGGAGCTGTGGAGGCGTAGCTCACCTGAGGTATCTATAAGAAATTAAGAAAGAGAGAGCGAGAGATATGGTCAGTGGTGGAAATGGGGGTGAACGCATCGGAACAACGCTGTGGTAGTAAAAGTCGGAAGGGAACGGCATTCCTGCTTAGATTAAAAAAAATAGGTGGAAATCAATAGATGTTTTACACTGTTTCTAAATCATGTTAATGAAACAAATTTAATGTATTTAGCTTGAACACACCACAAATCTAGCTACTGCCCAGATACAGCTAATGGGAAAGTGTGACATTGCAGGGTCCCTTGAACCAGCCTCCAAAGTAGAATAGAATACAACTTTATTGTCCAATCGTGGCAGGGAAATCAGCTTTGTTCTCACCCAGCCTATGAAAACATCACCAGCCCATAACAGACATATAAAAACCTATAAAACATCACTATTAGATCATTGCCGCACATCTCTGTACAACACATCACTACAAGTAGCGTTTCTGTGTCAGTTTTCATCACTACCGGCTACAGGTGTACTGGAAGCTGCCATGATGTTGATAGGCCTCTCACACATTTAAATCCAAAAGGATGCAGTAAACTTTATGGACGCACAGTAAAATGCCAATACTTTATCAATACACCTGTTCAACGTAAACATGTAGAAAGCGTACACTGCGTGCACAATTATTAGGCAATTTGTATTCCCCAGGATTCATTTTATTGTTGAACAAACGCAATGCTCTCAGTCAATCCAAAATGTAATTCAACCTCAAACCTTAATGTTTATCTAAGAAAAAGTGAGTTTTGTCTTGCTCAGGAGAATATATAAGTGTGCAGAATTATTAGGAAACTATTAGTGTGCAGAATTATTAGGAAACCTTTTTTCTCTTTCAACAAATGGATTCTGCAGCAACTGCTTCTTTGGCTCACATTACGGTATATGATCCAGTGTTTGTGTTTCGGTGTTTGATCCACATCCATCAACCTACGCTTTTTCATTTCCCCAGTGTCCCCAGGCAAAGGACATTTAGAGGAATCACGTTTTCTGACAGCTCTTTAAGAGGTGTGTCAAGCGGGCTACGGACTCTATTAATGTCATTCAGACTTTTCAAAGTAAAAGCGCTCAGTTCAACTCAAAGATAAGTATTACAGTAAATGAGCTTCTCGTGCTTCAACCAAGTCCAGTTGCCCTTCATTTTAACCTTCGTTTGGATAACTATGACCTGGATGACTGAGAATCTTCATAGACTTCTCGTGCTTTTATTTTGTAGGCAAAACCACTTAAGAGGAAGTGATTATGTGAGTAACTGTTGCTGTCATGACTGAGATCTATTTCAGCACCGCTATCAGACAATTTATTTATTTATATTTTTTGCCGCTATCAAAGCACCATAATTTGGCCGTGGGCCAGATATTATTGCTGGCAGGCAGTTTTGGCGATGGTCCATAAAAAAAAAAGAGAATTAATGTGTTTGCCTTGTCAGTGTTTGTATTAAATACATCTATTATGTGGTTTATAATGGACTGTGGTGCAGAAACAGTGACAGTGTTACACACTCTTGGCTTACATTTTCCATGATATCTGTCAGTGGCCAAGTCACAATAACTTATGGTTTTACTAAATAATTAAGTAAATATAATTTCTACCTAAAGAAACCTCATTTCTTGACTGGCTATTTGCTGCTGTCTCAGAAGACGACACCTTTTGTGCTGTGTCAGCCACCGTAAATATTCTACGCTCTTTGAAAGGGTAGAGGTCAGTGGTAGACTGGACAGTTGGTTGCAATTTGCAGCCTCACTGCTAGATGCCAGTAAATCTTTCTAAGCCTTTAGAAAATGTTTAGTGACCTCTATATCCAGATTTCTTTTCAGTAACTTCCATGAGCCTTCCATCTATGGATTCGGTCAGTTTCTTGATCTGTTCACGATAAACTTTCGCTGAAGCACCAACCACAGCCTCCTAAATGCAGTTCAATGAGGTGTATTGTCTTCCCTGACTGTAAATCTCACATTTGAGAAGGGAAGTTCTCAACAGGTTTCAAGTCAGGAGAGGAAGGCCATTTTTTTGACATCTTTGATGCTCTTGCTGGCTAGTCAAGTAGTGGAGTACTTGGAGGCATGTGATGGAGCACTGTCCTGCATAAAGAGCATGGCCTTGAATGCTGAGGACGTCTTCCTGTACCACTGCTTAAAGAAAGTTATCTTACATAAACTGGCAGTAAGTTTGGGAGTTGAGTTTCAGTCCATCTTCAGCTCGAAAAGGTCAAACTATCTCACCCTTAATGAAAGCAGCCCATAATAGAACACCTCCTCCACCTTGCTGGCGCCTGAGTCGAAGTGGTGCCATGTCCATCAGTGATCCAGCAATGGGACATCCATCTGGTCCATCAAGAGCTAGTCACACGTTATCTGTCCATTAAACCTTAGAAAAATCTGCCATACGGTATTTCTTCTCCCAATCTTGACGCTTTAACTTTGGAATGTTATGTGTTGTTCAGTGTGGTGTTTAAGCTTTCCTGACCTTTCCCATGTCTCTGAGCCCTTGGCACATTGTACTATAATTCTGGACACTCCAAGTAGGTTGCAGTTCTGGAATATGGTGGCACTGGAGGACAATGGGTTCCTGGTAGCTTCATGTTTAATTCTACTCAAGTCTTATGCAGTTAATTTGTGCCTTTTCTTCTGCATGTGCTTTCTGAGCCCCAGTTAACTATTCGCAACAAAATGTTTGGTTGTATGGTGGGCATGTTATAAACATTACTGTTGCTGCTGTAGACACAACATTTAGTTATATTTAAAATATTCAATCCTAATCCTTTTCTGAATTTATATATTTTTAAATAATATACATTTTTAAAGCACTTTTAGTAACGAAAAAGAACCAATAAGAATATTAATAAAAATCCATACCAATAAAAAGTATGGAAAAATCCTAATGATCCCCATCCTATAACACAACTACAATTTTTCAAAAAGCACATTTTTATTGGGGACTCACTTAATTTCTCTGGGACCCACTCAAATACCTGTGGGTCCTGGGAACATCTTTGACTTATCTAGTCTAGTTACTGTAATGTTAATATTGCTTATAAACACATGTATTGTCAAATTGGTGAGTAGAGCAGAGCAAAGCACGAGAGGAGACAGCATGAGAGCAGGCGAGCAGAGAATAGTAGGAGAACATGTTTTTGGGAGTTGAATAAGCAGCTTCTTCATCAGTAGTAGTAGCAGTAGGAATTTTAAGTAAGTTTAGGAAGAGATCTTTCATGTAGGTCTCATAATAATGAGTAAATATACTTTGTGTAAATAGACAGCAGAAAGGTTCCTTGCATATACAAATACATGATTATAATATGACACCTACTATAATCTGCTGAAATCTCAACTGCTCCTTGTTATTCACCCTGTCCAGTTGGCACACTGTTGCTTTAAATAGTCCTGATGATCACAGGCTTAGCTACAATACTTTCTTAGAAGTATTTTCCACACTAGTCATGCAACACTAATCTGTTCATGAATTCACACTTGTATAATGTGGGATTATATTGGTGTTGAAAAATTTAGAAGCAAAAGATGATCTGCCTCCAGAGCTGCAATAATAACCAGTGTTCTTGTCAGCAATCACAAAGCCATTATATATAATATAACCTTATTGTGTTACTCAGAACAGTTTAAATAAAAGTAGAACCCAATAGGGTAAAACCTTAAGGGATAACTCGATAGGAGGGAAGATAAACAAGTCAGGCTTATTGAAGTAATGGACGCTGCTTTAGATAATCTTGATAGTCTTTGAATGAAGTCAAATTATTATTTTGATAAATCAGTTAAAAACACATTTGTGAGACAGAAAAACAACTAAAGAGGAGAAGCAATTGCGAGTTCTGCTTGTCTTCACGTGCCAATGTTATTAAAGCTTTAACTTCTTTCTTTTCTGAACTCTCAGCTTCACTACAGAAGCCCTTCAGAAACCGCTTCTAGCAGGAAACTCTTACTTGGTACGTAATCTTAACTTTTGCTTGCACAAGTTGTTTCAGATTTATAGCTGTCATAGCTTCTGTGATCGTCCTATGGCTTCTGTGCTGCACAGTTAGGAAGTTAACTGACCATATTTTATGATGTTCAATAATGTGTTTCATGGTTTAACTTCAAATATGGACACACTTTTTATGCTGATCCAGTTCCGATTCCCCATGGCTGATAAATTCAGGCAGTAGATGTGGAAGGCAGAGTGGCAGCTGCTTTAAACCAGAAAAGGGTCAGACTGTGTACGAGTCAGTGGGTGAAAATATTTTGTGTAATCATGTGAACATAATAATTTCCAAAAATGGAAAGTCAGCCATATCCAATACCCTGATGTTTTATTATATGCAATTATATGCATTTCTGAATTCTATCAAAAACTTTGCCTTTTCATCTGATGACACGTGAATGAAATGTTGCTCATCCTGTCCAACAGCTTTTCATGGCACCTCAGCATTGTTCTGGGGATTGTGACAAATACTGTCCTTTGAGCATTCCTACTGAGATGGAGGGATGTGTGAGTGGAGCTGAATATGACACTGAAAAACACTTTTAAACCTGCTGTATGTTAGAATAACACAGTAACAGTGTAGAAGATGTGTGACTATATATCTGCTTTTTATAAATCTGAATCTGGAAAAAAGAATTGTATGTTTTGGAGGAAAAAACTTTCCAACCCACTTTCTTACAGTACTTCCACTGAGCAATGCTACATCAAAGTAAACTTTACCCACCAACAGTCCTACTTTACCAATATTTGCTCCACTAACTGCAGACAGACCGCTATGGCAGTGATAGCGTCCCTTCCTCTCTCCCTCGCTTCACACAGCCGAAGCCTTTGATGTGGTCAGCTGTAGCACTGCACTGATCCTGCTACCACTGTGCTCCCTGTTTGTCGCCGTAGCCTGTGTTAGGAACACAGCTGTCCAATCTGTACCCATGACCTCCTAACAGCTCATGTAGCTTCCACACTGAATTTCTTTTTGCATCAAGGATGCACTGAGTAAATCCAGAACAGGGGACA